TTTGCAGAGCTGAATAGTTTTCTATTGGAAATTGCACTTTTATATCTGGGATACTAAATATATGCATGGGTATGCGACACTTGGATCACAATTAATGTTATTAATGCTAGTATGAACTATATTAAAAGAGTTTGCATTACAATTTTTTATGACAAATTGAATACTTTTTTTAATTGTCTTTGTATAAAGTGCCTTTAACATGTTGATCTACTTTTTAAAAATTATTATACAATATTAAGGGAATGTTTCATCAGAAAAGGTGCAATAATTATCAGAAATTCAATTTAATTATATTTAGTCTTAAATATATTTTTCTTCTTATTGAATTACATATAATTTATAAAAAATAATAGTATGATTTATCTATAAACAGTAGATGGCTCCAAATATAAGTTAAACTTGTGAAAAAGTTTTAAAAATTTACTTCTTTAAGCTATTGTTTATCTCATACTGATAAACAATATCCACTATATTTATCCATGATATTTAGCTATTTATCCATGATATTTAAAATGCATTGTATTTTTACAACACAAGGATGGCAAATAAGATAGAAAAATTCAACACAATATATATATATATATATATATATATATATATATTATATATATATATATATATATATATACTTTCATGGCCCGGCGTTGCACGGGCTTTTTCAACTGTATAGATATTTTTTCCTTTAAAATTTCCCCTTCTCGTATCAGTTTAAGCACTCTTCCTGGTGTGTTTGTGACTTCCATATTAATATTTCATTAAAATACCCTTCTTCGAAACTTCTTCCTCTCTTAGCTTCATCGGATGGGTCTGCTTCACGTCAGAATATCCCAGCGTTGCTCGGGCTCTTACCGAGTACATCACTTCACCCCCATGGAAAATTTCCCCTTTCCCTCTCGATGCCAGCACTTCTAGGAGAGAGAGGGATTTCTATATTTATGTCATTAAATTCTTTTTTTTCGAAATGTCTTCCACTTTTCCTTGCTAAGAATATTTATTTTTTCTCGTTTAACCGGTGTTGTAGGGGCTTTTTCGAGAATATAAAACTCTTTTTCATTTCTTTTTTCCTCAAGGATAAGGTCAAATTTCTATTTTCCATTAATAATTTACAAAATTATTCTTATTTTACCCAATAGAAAGCAGCCATTGCACCGATTTTTAAAATAATTTAGTAATGAATTATAAAAAACAATACTGTGTTTTAGTTTTTAAAAAAAAATATTAATTTACATCCATATATAGCTGCATGGTCCAGAGTTGCTCGGAATTTTTCTTGTGTATAACTCTGTTCTTGTTATTTTGTTTCTCACACACACAATTAATATGTTTGCCTATGTCCTCTCCGAAAGTTGTCTTTACGCGCATGCAACATAAGCCCTCAAATTCTAGAATTCTTTGGTAGGCTTACAACCATTAATTATTATTGGCAGGGGTCGATTTTGAGAGTTATTTTAGTTATATTTTTACGGATCCCCGAAACGAAAAACTACTTTTTTTAAAAAAAACATTTTTATGTATAAAAAATGTCAAAAGTTAGAAATGTAAAAAATTTCGTGAATTTTTAAAGATTATTACAATATTCCGCTTCAGTTTCAGTTTCAATTGGAACCTTAGGAAAAGGTAAAAAATTTTCCAATATACCCTTTTTTATCCCTTTTCGAAATTTAAAAATTTAAAAAAAAACATAGATCTTTGCGTTTTAGAAATTGTGTTTTTAATAAGAAACATCTCAAATAAATCACATATCAAAAGCAGTTATTTTTTAATCAAAGTGAAGGAATCACTCAATAAAATTCCAGTAAGTCTGAAAACTGTATTTTAACGACAACATATGTAATTGTAAAAGTATGATTTCAAGGATATATTTCACGTTAGTCACATGTTAAAAGCTTTTTTTAACCTGTGAATGAATTAAATCAAAAAAGCTACGTCATAAAATTACAGTTTATCTGAAATCAATTTCAGCGCCATATTATGTCATTGTGCCATTTGTTATGGCTGCATGGCCCGACCCTGCACGGGGTTTTTCGAGTTTATAATTTGCCAATGGAAATTTCCTCTTCCCATCTCGATGTCATTACTCCTTCGTTGTGTGTGATTTCTATATTTTGTCATTAAAATTCCTTTTTCGCAATTTTTTCCATATCTTTGTCCCGTTGGACGGGTCTGTTTTCCTCCATTTAGCCCGGCGTGGCAAGGGATTTTCCAGGAGTATAACTTTATCCCAATGGAAATTTCCTTTTTCCTTCTCGATGCCAGCACTTCTGGGTGAGGGTGTAAGCGTGATGTGAGGGATTTCTATACTTATGTCATTAAAATTATCTCCTTTCCGAAATGTCTTCAATTTATATTCCTTTACAGACAGATTTATTTTCCCTCAGCTTAACCCGGAGTTTACACAGGCTTTTCGTGTATATATAAAACTCTTTAGTTTTTTCCCCCCTCAGTGATAAGATCTTTCTTTATATTTCTATTTTTAATTTTTATTTACAAAACTAATCTAGTTTTATCCACAAGAAAACAGACAATGTACGATATTATTATTAACTAATTAGTTTTCCATAAATAATGCAAATCAATACCAATTTAGTTTTTTTTTAAATTATAAATTTATATCCTTTTTATTAAATAATGAATGAAAAATGACTGTTTATTTCTGGATGTTTTTTATTTGATTAAAAATATGTAACTATAAAATAGAAGTATGGGAGAGTAAACCTTGACACATACATTTGCTTGAATTCACTGCATAAAAAACATTCAAAATGAAAATAATACTATCAAATAAAAACATTTTAGCACATTTCTTAAACTTGTAGTGGATGACATTTGATATCAATACAGTTTTTTTCAAATATTAATTCATTAATTAAAATTAAAAATAATAAATAGTAACAAACACAAAAATAATAGTCCAACAGCATACATAGGAAGGAAAATTGGTCGCTGTGTCCATGTTATACAAAGGATAGCGCGTTGGACTTCTAATCCAAAAGTCGTGGCTTCGAATCCCACCTAGTATGTCATAATTTCTGAGAATGGGGGTTTCTTTTCTATTATACTATTTATTAGAATAATTAAATTTAATTAACTTTATTAATGAATATATATTAACAAACAAAAAATAGTCCAACACCATACTAGAAATGAAAATGGAAAATCGCTTTCTATTTTGAAACTTAATATTGTGACTGTCATATGTATATACATATTTATATTAATTGTAACTAATTAATAAAAAAAGTAACTAAATAAAATTTTTATTTGTTGACCTAAGTAGGAATTTCCTAAAAAAATTCTTTTATATTACTTGCTTTAGTTGACCAGGAGTGAAAAAATTACTGTTTGAAGTCCTGGATTTAACGTGCATTAGCTACCTCTTCGCGGTGGGTCAACAGCAGCACTAGGATCCTACTCATAACACGCCAGCCAAGAATCCGTAACCTTGATCACAAGACTAACGCGGCCCCATAAAAAAATAAGAGCTACCCCTTAAATTAAAATTCAGCTATGGATTGTTTTTCTTTAATAAAAAGAAAAATGTACCTTTTATAACAGAGTTATAAATAAAAATAGATTAATATCTTAATTGTAATCGAAACATAGGTCATAATATGTGTATATACTGCATAATTGCATCATTATAAGATTAAAAATAACATTTATTAGAGAATAAATAAGATGTAATATATATATATATGCTCAAGGAAAGGTATATCTACTTATCTATTAAAAGAAAACTGACGTGTGACTATATTTTAATGCTACTAGCAAGCTCTTCAGGATTACATGAAGCATCGTGAATAAGTTCAATTTTTATGGAAGAAACTTTTTCATGTATACTAAATTACATTCCCTTTTAACTCCTTAATAATAATTATTATTATTGTAAAACTTATAGAGAATGCATCTCCTTATATTTAAATAAAAAAATCTTAAGTAAGAAAGGATAAGTAAAAAAATGCTCTGAAAAGAAAAGGTATTTTCAACAGAGGAATAAAAATTCAAATTAAACTTCAAAAAGGATGGGTTTGTTCTTGAAGAGAAAATAAGGGATTTTTATAGACGGGTGGTTTTTTTAAAATTTATCTTATATTTCAATTATAATTTAAATTTTGTATACCATTGATTTCTCTTTTGAAGTTATTTATCAGCTTGCTAAATTTGCTTCGGCCCTTTTAAAGTATCCGACTACCCTAAAATCGTGAATTTTTTTAAAAAATTGATAACTTTTTTATTATTTTATTTTGTAGGTCATCTTATTAGCCTTATAAAAATTCCGAGTTCTTTATTTTCCATTCACTAGAACAAAAACTACAAGTGTTTTAGTAAAAGCAGATGCCATAACTTTAAACGAGATGTCAAACTTTAAAACTCGTTTTACTCGAAATGTGTGTTTTTTTTAAAAAAAAGTTCTTACAGGGACAGCGATTACTGAAAAAGTTTTGAAAATAACTAATTATAAAATTTTCTGGGTATGTTCTGTATAATAGAAGAAGTGTTTTACCCTTTAGATTTATCAATCACTTTTTTATTACAAAATTTACAGTCCCTTATGTTAATATAATTACAGTTCTTGTAAGCAATATCATATAATAATTAAGATAAAGTGCTGTAGTTTTTGTAAAAATTAAAATATCTCTTATCCTGAGGGTCATTTCAAAAATAAATAGAATTTTTCAAGGGGGGAGGGGTCTAGGATCGAAAGTTCACTATTCTCGTGTCATTCTCCAACATGTTCTTTTTATTTTGTCGATTTTCGGTAACAAAATATTAATAATTGAATGAATAATTGGCATTAATTAATTAATTAAATTAATTATTAGCAACATATACTTAATTAAATTTTGCGTACTATATACATAGGATTATAATCAATCGAAAAAAAATAATAGCTTTCGGGGGGGGGGGCTCCGGATCCCCAAGATTCCCCCCTTGTGTGCGCCACTGGCCTCGTTTATGTAATTTTTTGTAAATGTTTAGCAATGTTTTCTCCTTTTAGTAATAATAAATTCTTTTACACTTCTTAATTTTAGCATATTTTTCTTATAATCCACTAAACAAATCTAAAAACCACACAAAAAAAAAATCCCCATATCTCCATTTTCTTAAAAAAAAGTTGTCGCAAGTAGTCAGATACCTTAAGTAAGAAAGAATAAGTAAAAAAAATACACTGAAAAAAATATATTTTCAACAGAAAAATAAAAATTCAAATTAGACTTCAAATAGGATGGGTTTATTTTTTTTGTGGAGAAAATAAGGGATATATTGACAGGTTTTTTTAAACCTCATCTTATATGTCAATTATAATTTAAATGTTGTATGCCATTGATTTCTTTTTTGAAGTTACTTATCAGCTTGCTAAATTTCCTTCAACACTTTAAATGCTATTCTTAACGTTATAATACAATTAGGTTCTTTTAAAAAAATTATATTATCTCTCATAGTAGCCATTGTAACCTTGTGGCCAAGGTCACGGGCTCGTGTCTGGTGTGCCGTGAATTCTAGCCTAGTACTGCTGAAGACCCGCTGTGTAAAGGGGGTCGTTACACATTAAATTTGTAGAGTTTCAAACTCCCACCCGTGGGTGTAACTTGGGGGCTTAAATATTAATAACTTTATTAAACATTGTATAGAACACAGTTACCCTCCTAAATTTATAAAAAGTTATATAACAGTTAAGTAAAAAAAAGTTTTTTCAGTTGTACAGTTTATAGATAGATGGCTCCTCTAGCTAAGTAATTTTGTAATAATATAGTTTATTAAAAATTAATCGTTTATGCCTGGATGGTATTTTTATTTTCTATAAATTTTTAAAATAAAATATAGAATTTTTAAAAGTATATATATAGTAATAATGCTACCTTATCAATACATAATAATTATATGCGTTACTGTTATTGTCCATAAGAGGCGAATATGTATTCACATGGTAAGTCTTCTATTAGTTTAGCTTTGATTTTAAATATTTTAGTAATTATTAAAGGCTATAACATTATAGTATTACATTAATAGATTATGGTTTTATCTATAATATAGTTAAACTTCTCTAGAAATTTATTGCTTTCCCTATGGCCCAGAATACTGGCAAATTCAGGTGAAGGTTGGCTGGCCAGAAAACTTTGTTTAAACCTGCATTCCTAGTTCCTAAGGCTGGGAGTTTGCTTTTAGTATTTCTGTGGCTAAATCTTTTCTATTATGACTATAGTTACCTTAGGTATATAACTATTTTTAGTATATTTTTTGAAATATATATATATATATATATATATATATATATATAGTTCCGGTTTTTGTTCCGCCAAAAATAACGGTTTTCGGTTCTGTTCCAAATGAATAATTTCATTTTTTGTATATTCTTATTTGTACTAAAAATACACTTCTGTCAAAGTTTTGAAGAATTAATTTTTTAATTGGTACACTAAGTAATATTTTTCTTAAGAGATTACCCATACTTCTAGTTTATTCAACTGAATTAAATCTGCCTAATACAAGTGGTTCCTTGTGAAACTGAAACACAAAAGCATTAGTGAACATCAAAACAGGAAATCGAGAAGCAATGTACATGCAATAATGATATAGTTATAGGGTTGAGGTGCAATTATAGAAAATATTGATAAGTTGGTTACAGTAACAAAATGACTTAAAATATGTGGAACCGAAATAAGCCAATATATTTTTTTGTTTCAGTTCCGGTTTGCGTTCCGACAAAATAACTGTTTTTTTCTGGTTTTCGGTACAGTTTCGGTTCGAAGCCCTGGTTAAATTTTGCGAGTCTCAAACGTTCTCCCGTTGGTGTAGAGTGGAAGTTAGGAGAGGGGGCGTCTGTTCAGGTGTCGTCCTTATTACTTAACCATGGGTCAAAATAACGAGATCCGTCGCCAAAAGTCTTCGTGTAGCTTAATCGTGCGAAGTAAATATTCACTCATTCACTCCAAAATGAACTTAAAACGTAACTTATTTTATAGCTATTATTTTAAGAGGTTATTAACTTAAATAGATAACGATACAAGATATAGATAGTTGTTACGTTTTTATATTATAGCTATAACGTTTATAAGCGAATTCATGCCCTGTGGAAAAATAGCCTTTTTTTATCCGTTTTTGCTCCTTTTTGTGTTTTAAGAGTTTTATTGAAATTTACATTTTTGTTTGTTATGAATGAGGAATTCTGTGAAATTTAAGACAAAAATATTCTCATATAGTTCTATTTAAATTTAGAGGAAATTCTTCGGCATTTTAAATCGAAATTTTTCTATATTTTTGTGAAGTTTATATGAAGAGAGATTCAATATTTTAGATAAATTATTTAGGGCGTAGTGTATTTTAAGATAAAAATGCATTCTTCATGCAGTAAATACTTATATTCCTATACTGATAACATTTCATTAAAATTCTTTTAATGATATTCTTATACTATACCTTTTTCAATAAAATTTTTAAACTGATGTTCTTAAACGGACACCTTTTTCAATAAAATTTTTATACTGATATTCATACAGTATTACCATTTTTAATAAAATTATTATGCTGATATTCTTATACTGATACCTTTTTCAATACAATTTTTATACTGATATTCCTACAATGATACCATTTTCAATAAAACTTTTATACTGATATTGTTTTCAATAAAATTCTTGTACTGATACAATTTTAATAAAAAAATTAAAAGTAAACCTTTTTAATTTTGTAAAGTAAGTTAAGAAGTGTAATATTTTCAAAATTGACTGCAGGAAACGATTCTATTTGTTGCTTAAGAAATGGAATAAACTATGCACTGATTATATAACTTGTGTATTGGCCTTAAATTCTTATTTAACATTATTTAAATTGTTCCTCCTGATCAGTTTTTATTTTCACAACATCAAAAAACTTCTTGATAAATCTTGAAGCAAAAATACTTTTAATTTAGTTCATTAATCATTCTTCTAAGTGTGGTTAAGAAGAAAAAAAAATTCTGTTTAATTTGAATTCTATATGTTTTTAAAATTAGAATTCATAACTGTATTGGTTAAAAACCT